TCAGGAGTGAAACGTAATTAATGATACGTGAGTAATATCTACACATATTCTTTTTATGGATTGGAAAAAAACAAACCTCCTAATTCAGGTAGTTTTTACGCCAAAATGAAACATGCAAAATGATAAATCGTGAGAAAAAAAAATCGTTGAAGAGAACGGACATTATACCTTTAATATGTTGCTTTTGTCAAAGGAAAAACATATCCTTCAAATTGTGGATTCGTTGAGGTCTTCAAATTCTCTAGCTTCCGCACCCAAACAACATTTTAGCCTAACTATAGTCAGTTGGCTAATGGTAAAAAGATCAGCTCCGCTCCGCTCCTGTATGCAATTTCGGGTGCATTTTTTGAAAATTTCAGGGATTATTAATAAAACACTTTCAAACCCAAATCCACTTGATGCCATTTTTTCCTTATATATACCACAGAAGAGTGTGCTTTCCGGGTTTTGTTTTTGAGCCGAATACCAATTTTTCACTGACCTTTTTTGAGGGCGGGGCGTCCATTTGGAAAACTTGGCGAAATACACCCAAAAGGAGAGCCATTTATCAAGACTTTGTTTGCAGCAGATGGTAAATTTGAATTTGGAATTACCTGTTTTTGAACAACTTTTCTCTTTAATAGGGGGCAGGGACACATTTCATAATTTGGGGTTCGAAAAAAAGTTAAATTACAAGATACTACAACATAATCCAAACTCATGTCAATTGTGTGTTCTGAATTTGGCCTTGGCGGTCTAAAGTTTATAAGCAGTAAATTATACGGCAAAATTTCAAATCGTGTTTCACTTTTATGAAGAGGAAGTAGGCCTACATTTTTGTAAAAATAAAAATGGGGAAATCATAAAAAAAGTAATATTTTGTCCTTAAAATCAATTTTGTTACACTAAAATTGGAAAACAGAGCTGGAACGTCTATTCTATTCTGGAACGTCAATTATATAAGGGAAGAGGCCAAAAGCAGAAAATGGTTACACTTGATGTTCCAATTTCAATTTAGTTGTAAAATTTACATAGAGCAATTTGAGATACATTTACAGATGTATAGTATATTTACTTTTATTTTGACGATTTCAGACAAACGAAGCGACATAAATTTGGCCTTTTATGTGAAATCATCCTCTTCCTATATCACTTTTGGAAATTTTAGTTTTCTGCCTAAAGACAATGACAAGCTAAAAATTTGGGTTACATTGTTGTTTTTTGTTCATACGCAATATATGCCCCCTTTTTATGAAAAAATTGTGTCACGCCCCAACTGGGAACAAAATCTTTATGATCTGACATTGTAAACACTCTCTCCGGTCTCCACCCCTGTTTGCTATTGTATACTGAATGGGGGAAAAACCACACCAAGTTTGCTTGTTACAGCTTTATTTCTATGAACACCATTTGCCCCCCCCCCCCACTTTATAAAATGCGGCCTGGCCCCATCCCCAAAAGGGCCCAAATTCTTGATTGTTTTTATTCTCTTGACTCAGCACTTGGGTGAGCTGTCCAAATGCGAAAAAGAAACGTGAAATTATCGGAATCATTTTTTTCGCGCAAAGCTCCCCACTTTATAATGTCATGGCCCCGCCCATAAAAGGGTCAGAAATGATGTATCAAGTGGTTTTGAACCTGTTGAGGTATCCATAAGTGATCCTGAGAGTTTCAAAGAGTGTACCCCAAAATGTACATGGGCCCCACAAGCCCACTGACTAATAACACTGTACCCTTGGAAAAGGACAGAAGAAGACACTTGAGAAAGAGGTGATTAGCTTTATACTGACATAACAACGTTGTGGCGCAGACTTTAAACGATTGGGTTAAATCATGCAGAGGGGTGGGCGTGTTGAGAGGGGGATGTAAGACATTACCAAATAGGAAAGAACGTCTTTTTAATACGGTATGTTAAATCGAGGCAGTGGGAGGGGCCTAACGAAATGGGAGCGTGTACAAAGGTAAAAACGACAACGCCATGGCAGGAATGAGTGAGGAGGGCATGAAACCTGGACAAATCACTTAAAATGAATGTGCTGAGTGTGCTTCCGTGACGGATTGTATTCTCGTAGCACAGAGTGATGGCTAAATTAAAAGAAACAAGGTCCGAAATCCTCCTTGCGCACGCGCACATTAACGAATACAAATCGTTTGCGGGGAGACACAATTAGTACGTCACGAAAAATGTCCCCAGCTAAATCCATCTTGTCGAAGACATGTGGATCATCCAAATGACAGAGTAAATGTTATATTACTCGCACTTATCAAGCATTTCACAACCCACGATAGAAAAAAATCGTCAATCTTGTCCACTCGGTGAAAATGCAATAATGGTTCGGCTGCCCTGTAACATTTGAATAATTGATTAAGCACACTTGGTTTGAGGACAACTAAATATTGAAAGATTGATCGGCGTCGGAAAAAAACAACGATGTATACGCTGAAGAGACGCACGTGTTTCTGTCATTTTATCCCATGTAAATGAAAAGCTTACAGAAAATGACCTGCGTGTTATACAGCACTACAAACCACAGATCAATAGCGTTTATGTGCACTTTTTGGTGAAATTAGAATAAGTTTAATTGGATCGAATCAGCTGTGCGCCATCCGTTGTTTAATTCATGGAATGGATTCAAACAAATTCTCACTGGAGTATTCTTCAAAAATTTGTCCTGTTCGTCTTTTTAACAAATCTAATTATTATTTTTAATATTTTTTTTTTTAGAATACAACTGTTTCCAATTTCCATTTTGTTTGAATGTTATTGTACAAAAGGGGCTGTGTAACATCAATATTACATTAGTTCTGTTCAATAATTGGCCGATAACAGCCATACGATTGTGTTCAGGAAGCTAATTCGCTTCCAACTAATTAGAGACGGTCCATTCGGTCCATGTGGTAACAATGTCTAATTTGGCGTCAAAAGAGAGCATGAAACCGGCACTAATTTGTCCCGGTTCCGATCCACCGAGAACCAAGGAGCAAAAATCAGTAGCGCCATGGGCTTCCCAGCTGAGTTTAGTGCACATGATACATTCATCACTCTCTGAGTCAAAAGATAGCTCATCTTTCAAAGAAATCTATAGTACATTAGTCATTGAGAAAACATGAATTAATTCTATTATAAGATGGAATTTTACGTCGGGGTGATATAAATCAAATTAGGTTTTTGCCCTTCACCGACACCGATTTTTTTCCAACTTTCACTCGGGAGGTAACACACTGAGTATACAGTGTTTAAACGTCGGTGAAGGGCAAAAACCTAATTTGATTTATATCACCCCGACGCAAATTTCCTTCTTATAATCTTATAATAGTTATGCGGTACCCGCTGCTATGTACATCAGATTCGAACCAGCCAACCGATCCCGTTAGCTCGGTGGTCGGGTGGTAAGACATCTGCACTAGAAAACAGGAGGGGTGGGTTCGAGTCCCATCCGAGTGATTTTTTCCAACTTTCACTCGGGAGGTAACACACTGAGTATACAGTGTTTAAACGTCGGTGAAGGGCAAAACCTAATTTGATTAATTAATTCATTACCATTCATGTCAATATCCAACACATGACGCCTATCACAATATGCGTATTATAAAAATGATAACTTGTATTATAATAATGTAATGTACATGCGCATAAAGAGTGGCATTAAGTGTATAGCATAAGGGAATAATGGCGCTTTTTTACGCGTATGGCCCACAAATAGATTGACTGAACAACGCTGAAATATATGACCAAAAGGATGGTTTAAAGTTGAGCAAGTCCCATGGTCCATAGTTCGTTCTCGATGAATTAAACAACACGCAACACTTGACAACCACATTTTCATGGTGACATAACTATGGGCACAATGCATGGCTATGTCCATTGCATGTAATTCATTAAGCATTAGAAGCACATTCGGGCTCGATCCACATCAGGCACCGCATCGCGTAGAGTAATACCATTTTCCAGTAATGTTCATCCCTTGCCAGTCGTGTTATAGTAGTTACAGTTTAAGTTTCAGTGAGCAACTGCCACATTTTTTCCCCATTGGGATACACAATAATTTTCAGCATATGGACGTTTATAGACAAGTTCGTTATTTTTCATCACATTTCAAAGCAGTGTTGGAATGTCTTCTGACCCCATAGGACTGTTTATAACTCATCGCTGTGCCATCAAATTAATGTATTTGTCTTTGGCAAAGCCAGATAAATCGAAAGCTGAAACAATGACAAGTGGAGGAGAGATGACGGATAATCGATTGTATAGTGCAGCTCTGTTTTTGTAAGCTCAAAAGCGTCCTTGTTTGAGCAGCTTGTCTTTCTGCAAGCCGTAGTGACGCTTGCTGTTTACCGCTACGCGAAGTCCGCTGAGGCCATTCCGAATTGAAAATCACCGGCGAAATCTAGGCCAAATCAAGGGACAGTTTTATGCAGACTAGCGTCGGGGTGAGATATTAAAAACACATCTGCTTTGTGTTGATCTGCTAAATGGTCTCTGATAATATTTTCAAGTATAAAAAATAATCTGTTTCCATTTATCCATGCATTTCTTGAAATGAAACTTTAGGAAATGGTTTGAATTTGAGCAAACAAGTTCCAAAAAAGAAGGGGAAAAAACATTTTGGGTCATCTATGTGCAATTTGTAAATGACTCTTGCGCATAAAAAAAAACGAAGTTAATCATTTGAGAAATAAGAGCATCGGGGTTACGACTTGGATTTTGGTCATCCCCATCCCCCACTCGCAGGCAAAGATTTAGGCCACTGCCTCTGAAAAAAAACGTAGAAAGCGTTTTAACCTAGGCCTATACATGTACAACATTAACCATGGCGCATATCCATGTCTTGATTAACCGCATTTTCTTTTAAACTCAAGACCAATCCCCGAGTCCCCCTAACATTATATCTTTTGAAGAAACCCCTTACCATTTCAGAAACTCTTTCATTTTCAAGGCAAATGAAGGGAAAGGAGTGAGAATCTTACCGATTGTCGAGACCACTGTCATGCAGAATAGCGCGGAGTTCATGAAGTCCCACGGGTAATGTTCACTGTCTCGTCTGACATCGTCTTTAGATTGATGGCCAACTCCGTCAGTATCTTGTTCTGTTTGGTATCATTCATAGTTTCGTTCATGTTGTCCAGTAGTTCTGTGAAGAGCCGTACGATGGTACTGTTGGTGGTCTTCGTCAGATTGGCCTGTATTTCCCGTTGCCGCTCGGCTTCAGGATACTCCACGGCCTGGAAGATAGCCGCACCCACCAAGAGGTAACCAGTCCAGAGGAGGACGGGAAGAGAGCCCCGCAGCCAACGCACCAGGCGTGGGCTACAGCAGCTACCGGCCACCGTGTCCTCGCAGACAGCGGCGTGGCTGGACATGGTATCACCGGACCGGCTAGACACAGTACGACGGATGCCTCGGAGCATCAGTGTGGTGGGACCACGATGCTACGCCGGCCAATTCCCCTATCATCATCGACTCATCATACCCCTAGCCCTCTGATCAATCTATCACACCAGCCGGTTTATATCCGGCGGGGAAAAGTATAAGCGAAACCAAGTATCGATAAGTCTCAGATGGCTTAAAATGTCCAGCTTAACGCACTATCTCGAACAAGTAATTCTAATAGTATTAAAGAAACATGGCAGCCAAAGAGGAAAATAAAACAAACTGTGATGTCGGCGATACAAGGAAAACAACGTGCTGAGAATCTGCATCGACGGTTCAGGGCTGGTTTTTTTCTCAGCTGGCCGAGGTGCGTTGTTGCGTTCCCGACACCTTGTACTATTTCCTCTCACTACCGCGATCAAGTGTGATGGCCCTTTATTGATGACGGCGTTGAGCCTCCTTGCCACCGATCATTTATACGCCTGCCTTGCTGCATGCTATGCAGATCAAGACTGATATTGACTACATCATAGAGGACGGCCTCCACGCCGCGCTCGTGGACTAGTCTATGGCTACGGCTAGCAATGCGCCTATGGAAGCGGCTGAATCCACTTCTAATAGAATCGTGTGTAACTGCCGTAGCCATTTAATTCGGAGGGTCATGCAGAAATGACAACTATCATAGTCTCACATCAAGCCGCAGCAACACGAACGCCTATTTCTCGAAAGAGGCTAACACGTGATGTCACCATCAATCATTATTTTTCAGCGCTCTTATATCCGAACTGGGGCTTTCAATTTGGTCGTTCTATATTTACCCCATACCCTTTTCTTCCCTCCACAGCCGTGATGATTGGTGGACCTCAAGTCATGGTCTATTTATTCTTTTAAATTTGCCCTAGCGCTCGGAAAGAAATTTTAATGGTTGGGCGCCATTACAAATGCATTAGGTCGGCGCTTTGGTTGGTCTGTCGGGGCGAGCAGAACAGACAGGAAGTGGACACGAATTTACCACTCGGACTTTCTGCGATTGAAATTGATGGGCGCGAATTTTAACAAATGCGATCAGACTGTTTATTAATTTTAATCCATCAAATAAAGCCGCGCTGGCCCAATAACGCGCATGGATTTGAACAAGATGACTAATTATTGCAATCATCTTTTCAGCAGCAGGTGGGCTTTGTGATGTAGTTCCTATAGGCGACATGGAATAAATCACTACGTAAACTCCGTTGCCCGCCTCGTGATTCTATCCAACACACCCCAAACCCTATAGACCGCCACCTGAGGCCCCAACCTAAATCATCACCCAACCACGACTTCCCAAGCCATCCCAAATACTAACCCAATCTCCCTATTCACCCATCCACTATCACCTATACCCCTAACCCCAGCTATTTCCCGTTCGCAAAATAACTCCCCATAAATGGGACCCGAATAAATTATTATTCTTTTTTTCAAATACCTCCTGAAACGAATATGAATAAAAATTGCTCACTTTTACTATTTTTCAGTTTATGCATGAGTAATATTATTAGCAATAAACCACATTAAAGCTGTCGATCAGTAGTAGATGACCATGGACTTGCTATATACAATGTATATTAACATTCAGATGGTATAGGCTATATTAAAATTATGCAGCTGTTGCAATTCTGCTGGTATGTCATTATGAAGTGCATACACCAAATATAGCATATCTTCATCCAACCGCCCACAATCAGGCAGAGTGTATATTATGATGCGTCATTGAATGCCATTTTTGCTTTGAAAATATTCATACTTCCGTAGTGCAATTCTCAGTTATTAAACCTAATAATGGTCTTTGCGCACATTCCCAACAAAGCGATACATGATAAAACCTAAGCTCCTAATTGGTCATTTTAAAATCTGATCCCTTGTATACAATTCACGGAACTGATATAAGGGCCATTTTCTGACCTATTTCACTCTAAATAATAGTTCAAAACTGGTATATATGGTCAGTGTAATTTAGTTCAACATTGCTGAATTTAACTGGTTTGTGATAACACGAACCCAGGAAATAAAATGCAGAAACTTAGAGAAGCAAAGCAATGAACTTTGCTAAGAATCAAAACTACTTAGCAATGGTAGTTAATAAGCCATAATGTCATGCAATAAAATGTCGGTTACGATAAATTCTCAAATGATTTTTTTTACGCGGCAAATACATCTGCTATAAAGGAATGTTTTCTATAGCAGCTCAGTGGGCTTGGGCCCAGGGGCCACTTTTATACAGCAAACTAATTAGACCATTTTCGTACATTGCATGATATTTTCGCTGGTGTCGGTAATCTACTTTGCTAAGTAATTCATTTCGGCGCTTACATGCAAAGCTCTGTGCAATGTGGTCTCAAATGCAGCTTAAATTAATTCAATGACGAAGCCATGAAGTCTGCATATTTTAAACGTTACTTCAATATCAAGCGATCAACTTACAGTATAGCTGTCCAATTCCCGATTGATCGAATGTTAGGATCAAGAGCGATACTGGGAACAGCTCAAATAATCCGATTCGTTTCCAGGTCTAATTGGACATTCGCTAGGATGTAATTTCACCCTTCCATTATAAAATCTGCCATTATACCATCTGTGTTAGGCATGTAAAACAACACCACACGCGCGACCAGATTACTTTTCATTAAGGTTTGAAGGCGACTGTGTTTAATTGATTCCATGAGATGAACAAGAAAGTCGGACATTAAGTCTTGTACCAGTGTCTACCTTCGCGTCTCAATGAGTTTTCGATTCTTTCCAGTTAATCTAGGATTGTTTCTTTATCTATTTTCCTAACTTTCTGTTCAATACATTTCTTGCTATTTTTCTCCATTCGTTAAAAACCAACGTAGGCCTAAAACCAATGTTATTTTCTGAAATTTCTTTCTACCAAAATTCTAAAATTTGAGACAATAACACACAATAACAACTTCTGTCAAACATCTTGCCTCCTTAACGTTCATGACAGCTATGTTTTAAAAAAAAAAACAGGACAAATGAACAAAAAATGAAAAAGTGGCTCAGATTAAAGGATTCCTGATTTCTGACAGCAAATACTCGCAAGACTGGCTTCTTAACTGCTTAACTTAGTGTTTTTTTTTTTAAATATTTCTCGTCCGCTAGCGGTATAGGCTATGTTCTCTCAATCTATGTAGTGACTCTAAAATCGCAAGGGAGATACCTCATCAGTGACTCGGAACCAAAATCTTGGCTTGTGCAGATCCTTCTTGTGGACTTTCTCCGTTGAAACGACATAATCACTCCTGTACATTTTTTTTGTGTAAATAAATTACACTAAAACAAACAACCACTGGATAAGCCTCTGCATCCAATGCACAACCCAGAAGGAAAAAACAAATGAAAGAGGAAAGCTCGTGACAACAGGGAACATCCAATTTGTCTAATGACCAAGACTGCCTTCATCAAGGCGCTGCGTATTTTATGTTTCAATTTGAAGGTTCTCACTTAAATTACAATTTGTCGTCCGGCGGGATGACACCTCCGAAGCGCCAGAGATGATGGGTGTTTGCTTCCGACTGGTTGTGAAGGGTCGTTGACGGTGCAAAGAGACTCTCATGATTGTACAATCTTCGACCATACGGAGACACGCGCAATCACAATCACTGTCAAAACTGACATTATTTTAGAATTCTTGGAGATGGTCCCGCGTGTTTTGAGCAGCTGCGCACTACCGAATCACGGTGTCAGGTCATTAGCGTGAGTTTACATCACTTCGCCCGTACAGGTGTTGCACATCTTGTCATGTGTTGACGCCTCGAACCAATCAATTTGAAGCTTCACAATATTAATAGGGAAGATTAGAGTCGACTAGGTCAGCTGTTAGCATCGGTGTGTTTTCAAACACTCAGATATATGTACGAGAAGCTTTATGGTTACAGAATTGACTTGTTTATATCTTGTTGGGTTTATATTCACTTAGTTATCCTGCAATTTTGAGCAGTTCACCCACTCGGGCATGCGGGGGAACACAGAAAAGCTAAGCAATTGATTTCAAAAAATTGGCACATAATCCTCCGTTTAATTCTTCTGGTGAGAGAAAAGAATTCGGGGTCGCTTTTTGATACGATTGTTTAAAAATTTTCATTGCTACCCTCACCCATGAATTCAAATAAATAAGCCTCCAAAATAGCAGCTACCAGAGTAGGGTTGCGCCCGAATCTCAAATTAGGTCCGTAACAACGTGGGAACAAGCTGGCAATAGACGTAGACGTAGTCGAATAGCTCTAGACGCCAGTTTGCGACACGGGCTATTACTCTTTGAATATAGGACATACAGAATGACTGTGTCTGGAAAATGAATTGTAGGTCTTGAATCAGTGTCAGAAAATCTAAGCACACACATGTTCGCAATAACGTGGACGCATCCATCCCTATCAGTCAAAACACGTATCCCAATGGATTTTGAAGCATTCAAAATATACTACCAATGCCCGAGTGTACTCCCAGGAACATTCTACAAGAGTGCAGTGCCCAGTGCCTACATCCTGACACTTACATTTAAGACGCATCTGAAAAAATGTTTAAGTATTTACGGCAGACATGTCAACAGGACTCAGCTTCAGCAAAGTGACAGCACGATAATCTCCAACCCATCCTCCAGACGATCGCTCGGACATTCTTCGCATCCAGTTCGATGAATCATTGAAGACCATCGTGTGTTACCGTAGAGAGACTTTCCAACGTGCGTACGCTGAAAGTGTTACAAATGAGGGTTTATTATACGGGCACTTGCCTTTCTCGGTTGATTGAATCATAGGCCTAAATTATACTATTGCAAGATCTTTTTCTCGGCCATTGCCGATGTTCCGTAAAGGGGACAAGTCAGGGGTTTCTGGGTGCAAGGAGACTTCAAAGGGGTCAAGCTAGCGACACTTGCAAGGAATGTGCATTTAGGAACCAATCTATTTACTGAATGTGCCTATTTGTATTATTGGGTGCATGGAATTCTGGACTCCAAAGAGAGGAGTGAGAGGGGGAGGTTGGGTGTCTCAAATGCATT